CTTGGAAAATTAGAGTGGATAAGATTTCTTGAAAATTAAATGATTTTAATGCCATTGTTGGATAGTTTTGATTAATTACTTTTCTTTCTTTACTTAATTTTTTACTGCTCACCATTATGGGCTGAGATTCTGGCTGCATAAAGTGTGAACCTAGAGTGCTTCAGCATCCGTGAAGGGCAAAGTCCTAGATACTGAGAGCCTCAGAGAGCACATGTATTCACCTGCTTCTCCACCACATAATTTTTTCCTTTCTTTTTCCTTTTCCACATAAAAATGATTTACTTTTGTAAATGCTATAATGTCCTTAGTATGCAGTTGTTTGGGACCTCAAGGAAAGTTTTCATGGTACCTTCTCTTCTCTCTCCTTTATGATAGAAACATCCTAAACATTTTAACTTATTATTTGGTCACACATAAAAGCTACTTTCTAACACTCACCATTCCTGTCATTTCATTAGAAAGTGCCGAAGGAATTAATAAATGCCTGGAGGATAATTTAACCTCTGAAGACTCCTTCAGAATCACAGGAATAGAAAAGGTCTGGCTCATTGGCTCTGTTCGTCCCTGGCAGTTTCTTACAGGGCTACTGCTTTTGTTCTTGGAACACAAGTCCTAGAGTTAGATGTTATGTGATTGGGATTCTGCTTTTAAGAACCCAAACATGTCAGAGCAGCAGTAAATTCAGGGTCTCAGAATGAGTAGGGTTTCGGGCCGGCCTGTGGCTCACTCGGGAGAGTGCGGTGCTGATAACACCAAGGCCACGGGTTCGGATCCCATATAGGGATGGCCGGTTAGCTCACCGGGTGAGTGTGGTGCTGACAACACCAAGTCAATGGTTAAGATCCCCTTATCGGTCATCTTTAAAAAAAAAAAGAAGAATGAGTAGGGTTTCGATAAGTGGGTAACGCCATGTTTCCTGTTCCATACCCAAGCCTTTACAAACCTTCTTTTATTTGTGGTCCTCACTGCCTGCTTCACTCCAAAACAGTGGTTTCCTAAACACAGCTGAATGTCTAGACCCCACGTTACTGTTTATTCTCCAAAGCAACCATTACTGAGAAAAACCTCACAGACCTCCAGGCTTTTGCAGTTCAACCACCAGTTGCAAACAAGACCTGCTGTAGAAGCTCGCTATCATTTCTTTTGCTTTAGGCCTCATGAAATAGAAATGTTTTTTGTTTGTTTGTTTGACATAAACACATCTCTCACATTTCCTTCCGAGTCACTCTTGGTCTCTGACCCCCTGATGCCATTTCACTGGGCTCTTCTGAACACCGTTCCTTCCGTTCCCACGCACAACTGCTGCTGTCAGGGGATGGCTTCTCTCTGAGGAGGCTCATTTCTTTGCAGATGTGTGTAACGTCGATCACCAGAACAAGGCAGGCTATACCCCCATCATGCTGGCAGCTCTCGCTGCTGTGGAGGCAGAGAAGGACATGCGGGTCGTGGAAGAACTCTTCGGCTGCGGGGACGTGAATGCCAAAGCCAGCCAGGTCAGTGCGCTTGCTTCCCATGCTCCCTAACGTGGCTCAGACCGCCTGCAGCAGACGGGCCTACCAGGACCCCTGGGGTGGAGCCGGCATTGACATTGTGCCTCCCACCGTGGCGCACTTTCTCGATGGCCCACCTGTGTCCAGGCACTGCTTGCAGCAGACGGGCCTACCAGGACCCCTGGGGTGGAGCCGGCATTGACATTGTGCCTCCCACTGTGGCGCACTTTCTCGATGGCCCACCTGTGTCCAGGCACTGCCTGGGTCCTTGCCGACCAAATGCACCAGTGAAATGTGGGCCTAAATTTTACATTGGAAATGCTCCCTCTGCCTTGCCTTGCCTTGCCTCTGCTTGCAGACTTTGCAGGGAAACCATGTAAGGCTGCCTGCATATCAGCGACTGGGGTCCCATCATACACCTGGGGGGTGACTACTGCTTCCTGACTGTCTCTGGGTTGTAGGGTCTTCATGCCAGGTACAGAGTGTTCCAAGTTCACAGCTTGACTTTTAAACATCTTCTGAACTCTCCAGCACCCTGTTGATGAGACAGGTCCTCCAAGCTAAAGTGAAAACTTGACTCCTTACCTTATGATCTTCCTCAACTCAACTCACAAGAAACTAGCTTCCCAGGCCTGCCACCATCTGCCCCAAGTCATTCCAAGTCCCCTTTTTCCCTTCTGGCACCACACTCCTTCCTTTCCCCCAGCATAGCCCCACTCCGGGCCACCCCCACCAGCGGGGTATGCACTCCTGAAGTCTGCTGTCATTTCTTCCCCAGGCGGGGCAGACGGCCCTCATGCTGGCTGTCAGCCACGGACGCATAGACATGGTGAAGGGCCTGCTGGCCTGTGGGGCTGACGTCAACATCCAGGACGACGAGGGCTCCACGGCCCTGATGTGTGCCAGCGAGCACGGCCACGTGGAGATCGTCAAGCTGCTGCTGGCCCAGCCAGGCTGCAACGGCCATCTGGAGGACAACGTAAGCTGTCTCCATTGGCCTCCGGGCCAGGGGCCTAGGGGCTCAGGGAGGGAGCCTCTGAGTGCTGTTAGGCAAGAGGGAGAGAGCAAATCCTCCTTTATTCTCCTCATGAATTGGCATTGCCATCTAGGCCGCCTCCCTTCACAGCCCAGCTTGGCAGCATGTACTATGTGCAAGCTAATATGTGACTAAAGCCAAAGGCAGAAAGATAAATAGACACCACCCCAAAATTCACAAAAGGAAGAGGGTGACTAAATGGGCATGTTTGAGAACCACTGCACTACAGGGCAATAAACAGGCTTATGCCACAGAATCAAATTCAGTGTAGGCCACTCCTAATAAATCCACTAGGAAGAGAGGGCCGGGTCACCGGTCTATCTGGAAATCCAGATTATGAGTCATTAGAAGCTGAGGTTATTAGGTGGCTGAAATTAGTCCCATTATAGTGAAACGCTTTCTCACCCAGATGAAGTGAAGGCAGGTGATCCATTATGGCCTGTCCCAGTGAGTGACTGTGACATTTCCTCAGCCTGGGGATCCAGGCCATCTTGGCTTCTTTAAGCACGTTTTCCTCATCTGCTCCATCTGTTCCCGTCACCATCACTCTAATCTCCTCACCCAGTTCCCAAGCTGTCCCCATTCCCAGACCACACCTTGACTGGGAAACCTTCTACAGAAAGGGGATCCTTCTGGGGTCTCCAGCCAAGGGGGAGGATTACCGAGAGGGGAAGGCACAGGCCCTAGCATTTTGATAGTGAAACACTTCAAGGGTCACAAAGGATGGACTGGGTTGGTTCTGTGTTTGAAAGTTTACCTCTGGGGAGCACAGGTTTGGACCAGCACTTTGCTTAGCTCAAAACACCAAAAAGTTAGAAGGAAAACGTCTTCCTTTGCATTAAACTTCAGATCCATCTGGGCCCAGGCCAGTAGGAGGAACAAACCAGTGGAGGTCTTTGCATGCTTCAAGGGCTGACTAGCTTCTGCGGTCAACTACCTCCACAGGACGGCAAGCAAGCCCCATTGTTCAACTCCCTTAATGTCCCTTGACTCTTGATGGAGGGAGAGTATCCAACTTACCTTTCCTCAAGAACGGTTTATGTTCGATGTGTTTGGGGTTTTGTTTGTTTGCTTTTAATTGTACTCTCTTTCAGCTTAGAATACCTTGTAGATAGAGTAGTAAGAGGCCACAGGGCCACAGTGACTTCCCAAAGTCCTGGCCACCTCAGCTAATTGCCTGCTTCCTTATCCTTAAAGGAGTAGGAGAACATGCACCTGGCCTCTGGAAGAAAAGCAGCTACCAGAATTCTCAGCATGGGAGGGAACGACCATGAGATTCAAACCACATAAATTCACATTGTTTCCTGCTACTAAGGAGCAGAGGGGAATCCTTACTTTAAGACTAGACAGAAAATAAGTTGTGCTGCTCTTTGCTTTGATGTTCCTTTGTATCAGCCTAAATCCCTGCAATTTAATGACAATCAAGCAATTAACTGAAGTTTTTTGTCCCATAGGTAATATTTCCCCTTATATTTCCCTAAGATACATATATGCAAGCCTCCAGGATCAATGCTTACACGAAGATGTTAGTTGTAGCATTAAACAGAGGTGGTTTGGGCTTCAGGATCACAGTTTCCTCCCCAAGAGGAAAGTTAAGAGGTTTTGGCAAATTGCAGGGCCTCAAAACACACACCACGACACTTGTCTGGTCACTTGTAATTATAAGAGAAAAAAGGAACCAAACTATGTTTCTTCCCCTGCCTTCTCCTGCTGCCCTCGTCTGGTGGGCAGAATGGTTGAATAAGAGGTCTTCATGGGGGCCTGCATTTTTTGAGGAGGCGCAGTGTACAGACCACCATGCCACATACTGTGAGGCAGAGACAGGGAGAGGGGTAGTTCTCTGGGCTGTGAATTCCTTGAGGCGGCAGGCTTGCCTTACTGATCTTCACATCCTCAGGCCAGAACAGTTTCGTAAATGACTGAACTATATTTGGGGAACCTTAGCAAAATACTGGGGGGTGTTCTTTTTTTGCCTTTTGGCTGTCTGGAAGTTTAAGAAACCCAACCTGGCTTATTCTTTCCATCTCCCCTTAAGGATGGCAGCACCGCGCTCTCGATAGCCCTGGAGGCAGGACACAAGGACATCGCCGTTCTTCTGTACGCCCATGTCAACTTCGCAAAAGCCCAGTCTCCGGTCAGTGTTGTGCATTTGGCATTTGTAAATAGGCTGAAATCCACCAGACTGGCAGACCCCCTTCCTCAGGGAATTGACAGGCGACGCAGGTTTTATGTTGATTCTGAAAGTGGAAGTTTTAGTCTGGAGCTTAAGAGTTCATCATTTCTGTCCCACCCCGAAGGCCAGGAGAGCTGATGTTGAGCAGAGGCCCTGACAGGCGACGCAGGTTTTATGTTGATTCTGAAAGTGGAAGTTTTAGTCTGGAGCTTAAGAATTCATCATTTCTGTCCCACGCCGAAGGCCTGGAGAGCTGATGTTGAGCAGAGGCCGAGAGTCTGTCTTCAGCCTTTTCTACTGAGCAGAGCCTCCCTTCACCTTGGTTGTGTGCTGGATTGCTCCACAATGACGGGGTATGGTCTTCGGTCATAATGTATCTCTCTAAAAGTGTTATGGCTGCAAGAGTGCCTAGGACCTTCCTGCGATTACTCAATGACAGTTTAAAGCATTCTATGCTAACTCATCCTCTCTGCACTAACTCCTACTGCTGCTATTCTTTTATTTTCCTTCAGTCTGTATCTCTTTGAATTTGTACATTGAATTATTACATAAGACAGCTCAAGTGGTAGACACTTCTTTCCATGGAATTGAGGCATAAGGACTTTTTCTTTAAGCTTTCACATTTTTTTTTTCCTTTTTTGTCTTTTTTCGTGACCGGCATCGGATCGCAACCCTCGGTGTTGCTCCCGCCCCTCGCTCAGCCAGTGAGCGGCCGGTCTGTATGTGGGATCCGAACCCTCGGCGGGAGCGCCACCGCACTTCCCAAGCGGCGCACTACAGCAGTGCGCCACCAGGCCGGCCCTATGGTCACTTTTAACACCCATTTTTCTTCCTTTCCTGGTCTCTAGGGCACGCCTAGGCTTGGAAGGAAGACGTCACCTGTTCCCACCCACCGAGGTTCATTTGATTGATTATGTGCAAATAGCGCTGCATGTACATGCCACCATTAAGCTGCTAATTGTTCCTGATGGGGTGACAGATGCTGAATGTATATGTATTGTGCCTGGGCTCACCAGCAAACAGAAGTATAATGCCACGGGCTCAAGGCTGAAGCTTTCACAGTGGGAGTGGAGCCAGCAGGAGACTGCCGACCTGGGCAAGTGTCTGCCATCTTCTGTCTGTGTAGGACACACTTTAACCCGTCTCTGTGGCTGCCAAATCTCTGCTCTGTTATGTGCAGTTGTAGGAAACTGTAACCTGACCTTTTCCTGTCTTCACCACTCCCATCACAAAGAAGTGTCAGGTTCTAACTGGCATTGGGTTTTTTAAATTTTCCACAAATATGAGGGTACTTCAAAAAGTCCATGGAAAGATTTGTATTATCTTTTAGTTCTGTTTTTCCGCGAACTTGTTGAAGTATCCCTGTATTTATATTTATTAAATGTGGAACCATTGGAATGCTCTTCCAAAATTCCATTCCAGGATGGTGGTGTTGATTTTTCTTTGTCTTTATTATTTTAAAGTAAGGAAGTTGAGGTGACCTTGATCATCAGCAACTTGGGCCTGGGCTGCAAGTTTCTGGTTTAAAAATAGAAGATGGAACTCTCTAAAAGTATAAAACTTAACAAAGGAAATATTTTCAGTTGGTTTTATCAAGGTGGATGTATTATATGACTTTTTATATAAAAGGTATCTATATGAAATTGACACAGTATTTTCAATTTTTATATTCCACAGTAATTAAAGACACGAAGAACTACATGTAACGTTACCATATTTTTATTAATAATTGCACAGCCCAGTCTGTAATGATAAAGGTTGAATTGCGTTAGAGGAATCGGCTATATATTTGCCTCTAGAGAAACAGTGTAGTTCTCTTTGTATTTATGGATTCCTTTATACCATGTCACATCTACTTTCGTCCTGTATGTATTTAAATGTTTGAAGTGCCTTAGACTCTTGCCATATTTTCAAAATAAAATTTCATTAAGCTCTTTTCCTTGTCCCTGCTTCATCTGTGACAGCTGTCTGCCCTGTCCTGTTGACTTACAGCAGCAGCAGCAGCGAACACTGACGGATGGATGGAGCTGGGAGGGAGAGCGTGCGCTCGGCTGGTCTCGGGCTCCACTAGGGAGGAGCTGTCTTCTAAGAGCACTTTGCCATTTCCACAGCCTGGCTCATGCCTGAGGTTGCACTTTAGGAGGCTGAAATTTAAGACCTTATTAGGCAAACAGCTCATTGGGCAGGTAATCTCCAAGGGGAGCTTCTGAATCAATTCTCAGGTGCAGAGGCGCTAGTCCTTGACTCTGATTTTGGGTGCAACTGCTGGGCGACTGGTTGAGATGTGTAGTGACAAGAAAGGAGAGACGAAGCCGGACAGGCTTTTTACTTCAGCGTGCTGTTGGCCAAACACATCTGTCTTCAAGTTCGTTTTAAAAAGTAAAGGGAATTGGAACCTTCTCATCAAAATGAAGAAGCGTGACAGCCAAAATTAAATCTAGATGTTTTGGCACAGTTGCTGGTGGTGAATTTTAACCAAGGTCATTTGTGAGAACCAGGTGCACTGGAAAAATATCACCCAGGCTTTTCTTTAAACGTTCCTTCCTCCCTCCCTTTTTAAAATTAAACATTATTGAGCTCAGGAAAGAGGCCAGAGGATAGACTTTTTCCAGAGGTGTTTCATCATAGTTCCTGTTTCACAGGGTTGAGGTTTGCATCTTGTAGAGAAACACATGGGGGAGCTGGGAAAGCAGTGCTGGCGACCAGGCAGACCCGGGCAGTAACAGACTGCTCTCCTGGTACCACGCCAGGGGCTAACACGAGGGCCGTCATCTTCCATGAACTGTGAAAGTGAGGTCTCAGCTACCTGGAGTCAGGAGCCTCTCTTTCCCTCCCAGGACAGATCTGCTAGCCTTGGAATTCAAGCTAAATTTTGGTTTCCGGTGGTTATTCATGCCCGAGTTCGCACAGATTCGAAATGGCACAATAAATTACAGTGGAAGAGAGAGAGTGTGTGTGTGTGAGTGTGTGTGTGTGTGTGTGTGTGTGTGTGTGTGTGTGTGTGTGTGTGTGTGTGTGTGTGTGTGTGTGTGTGTGTCAGGTGGTTGGTGGTCCTGGGAATTTTCTTTGTTCCATGTGAGAAAGAAGGGCATTAATATTGTAAATGCACGAGAAAGCGAATCCCTACATCTGCGTTCTGCCATTCAGATTTCTTGTGCTAAATTTTGAAAAATAAAACGAGTGCTTGTTTTATATTTGAGTGAGGTCTTATACAATATGTATCTAACCTCTGGGCAACGTGCACTGGCTTGTGCCTTGTTTGCTCTCATGACACTGGGCACTTAGAACGCTTTTTATCTTGAGATCTCAGCACACTGTACAAACAAGCCTGGTTATCCCCATTGGTACAGCTGCGATTCATCGAGGCACAAGTCCATAAAGGGATTTGTGACAGGAGGCTTGGGCAAAGTCCCCAAGTGAGGCTGGCATAGGGTTGGGGACTCCTGATTTTATTTTCCTGCTTAAGAGAAGGATAAAACTTTAGGTGACGGAGAGCCAATTTCCCAGAAACCCTTGCCCTGGAAATTGAGCAGCTGAAGGCTGGAATCCACCCCAAGACAACAGCAATGGAGCAGCGGGAACTTTGAGACTTTAATGTTAAGAAAGTAAAACTGCAACTGGTCTTGCCACTGTTATGACTAAACTGACAACTGAGCCTCTCATTACAGGAAGGGGGCAGAGTGGGGGTCGGGGTGATTCTGGAGAAATTTACCTGGAACACTCTGTCTAGAATTAGTCCCCCAAATAAATGAAGCAGTAACAGCCCAGCTCTGTGAGGAGGTGAAGGAAAAGATTCACTTGGGAAAATGCTCCCAGAGCTGTCTGCGTGCTCAGCTGCTGTCACACGTGGCTGAACCAACTCCTCCTCCTGTCCCCATAAGCACAGAAGCATGGACCCCTAGCAGCCATGGTGCCAGCCCATGTCGAGCCCTTTCCTGTGTGCTGTCAATACTCTGAAGAACAATTTTATCCCTGACTTTCGTAATACTGAAATACTGCAGGTATGTGACAGTCCTGGCAGGCAGAATCAAGTGAGAGAAGTGCTATTTTTCCCTCAAAGGAAATAATAACTAACCATAATCTTTCTTTAGATTCTAATGGATTCTTTTTGGGGGGGAGTCTGCTAAAAGTAGAAGTACTTTTATTTTTATGATGCTTTTGTGTAAGCGTTCCCTTCCCTTTTGGAGACAGGAGGAGGGGTTGGTTCAATACGTGTGTGACGGGCTGAGCAGGCAGACAGCTCTGGGAGCATCTCTCCCAAGTGAATCTCTTCCTTCTCCATCTGCACACGGAGCTGTACTGTTACTGCTCGAGAAGAAGGCTGTGAACTGTTGCTCTGGCTTTGGAATAAAGACAGTTTTCCATTTTCTTTCTTCTTAACAGATGAATGTTTTTAAAGCCCTGGGCTTTAGCCAGAAACTATCTAATTCTACTTTCTGTGTAAGGAAATTACTAATCATATGTTTGCTCTGCTCCTATTCAGCATGGCTGTAATTGAGAAGATAGCTGATTATAAAAATATATTTAAAGTACATTTTGTTAAAGATTATTACCACAAAAGGATGTGGTTGAGCTGCTAGCCACAGTGCTCCAGAGCTGCACACACTGGAGCTCCATCCCCACCGGCGTCGCGGACTGCCAGTTCCTAGAGTGGAATGAGACCATCACAATTAGCTCTTTAAGTAAGAAAGGTGGAGTTAGCCAGAACTGGTAATGGTATCCTTAAGATGCCTATCCTGAATTCTGCAAGAATTTTGCAGAGAAGCTGGAAAGCAAAATATTTTTTATGGGCACATGCTTATGCAGAAATGTCTGATTTCAAGGACATTTGGGGAGGAGCTGGCATTTTAAGAAAACAGCTGCCTACTTCCTCTCTATTAAGCCCTTTGATGACTTAATAAGCGAGAGGATGGGAAATATGTCCCCAATTTTCAGATAACACAACCTGTATAAGAAACACTCCTAAAGTCCAAACCAGTCTTGTATTTGAGCCAAAATAAGTTCTACAGTTTTTCTCCATTCCCCAACCCAGAAGGAACCAGTTCACTCAGCCCAGAACCACCTGGAAGGGTGAGGCTGTATGATTGAAAGGAAGAGAAAACACCTGAGCTGCAGACGGGCAGCTGCTACTTTGCAGCCAGTAGTATCAGGTAGCCCGATGCTATGTAAAGGTTGATTGTAGGAGACCAAGTGCCAGCAGGGCGGGCCACTTCTCATGTGTCAAGCAGCAGAGATTCTGGCTGTGGTCCCATCTGCTCTGTTATGAAATACTGCATGTGCTTAACTAAACATGTAATAAAGACAATATTCATTAATTAGGTAGAGTCCCTGAGAGTTCAGAGAGCTCATGCCCCCACCCCTGCCTAAAATATGTCACCCTCTTACCCCCCGAGAAAAACCAGTCTTCCAACAGGAAGTTCACTAGGATCTGCTTTCGTGCTTGAGTTTGTAATGCCATCTGCCAGGCCTGAGGTTCCGGTGCCTGGCTGATAAATACTAGATGAATGGATAAGTGTAGAAAACTAATTGAAGTATGGTGTTGAGAGTCAGGAGAGAGTTACCCTTAGGTGGGGGAGGGAGACCGAGAGTGCTACTGAGCGCCTGGTAATGCTCCCTTTCTTAGCCTGTATGGTGGTTGCACTGTGTTCACTTTGGGATCGTTCATTCTGATGTTTACTCATAATTTATATACATTAGCTTCAATTTTTCAAAGTTTAAATAAATGAAAAGGTTTGACCAAATAAGATCTTGGGGGGAGGGTGTAGATTTTGTAGATCTGAAGATCATTAGAAACAAAAAGATTATGAATGTAAAAACTGGCAACTCTTGGCTCTGCTATTTCTTTAACGTTAATATACATCTTTGCACAGGATGGGTGTTGTGGGTGACTCATAAACTTGGGTAGTAGTCATTAGGGCTGGTCTCAGATACTCCAGTCTTTTTCTGGGCATAATGGAGTAGGATGTACTTCCTGCCCACTTTTGACGTTAAGCTTGGCCATGTGACTTGCTTTGCCAGTGAAACATATGCGGAAGTGACAATTCCAGATGGGAGTGCAGTTCACCATATCTGGTGATCATGGAAGCAAGTGTTGAGGTGGACATTCCATCAGTGTCAGTCCCTGAGTGACAGCGTGGAGCAGAGTTCACTTGCTGACCTGTGGTACAGGTATATCATGAGCAAGAAATAAACCTTTATTATGTTAACTTGGGGAAGTTTCAGAGTGATTTGTTACCATAGCATAACTGAGGTTTTCATTGATGTAGAAATTAGTTCCTGGAAGTTGGGTGCTGCTGTAACCAAATAGCTCAGTAGCTGATTTATGCACAACAAGGAAACTGTCATTGAGTACTCAATCATAAAACACTGAAAACTGTTTTAATAATCCCGATAGTACCCAGAAAAGGTAATCCATTACCTACAATACATGTCTTAGGGCACTAAGGACTGAATCTCTTTGGGAACAAAATGCCATTTCCTAAGTATCTTGGGAGGCAGATAAAAACTTGTAGCTCTCACACTTGAGTATACATCAGAATCCCCAGGAGGGCTTGTGACAACACAGATTGCTGGGCCCTACCCCCAGAGTTTCCACTTCAGTAGATCTGGGAAGAAATGCCCAAGAACCAGCATTTCTTTTTTTTTTTGTTGTTTTTTTTTTTTTTTTTTTTTTTGTCTTTTTCGTTACCGGTAAGGGGATCGCAACCCTTGACTTGGTGTCGCCCACACCACGCTCAGCCAGTGAACGCACCTGGCCATTCCTATATAGGATCCGAACCCACGGCAGCGGGAGCTTCGCTGCGCTCCCAGCACTGCACTCTCCCGAGTGCGCCACAGGGCCAGCCCAAGAACCAGCATTTCTAACAAGTTCCCAGGTGATGCTGATGCTGCTGGTCCGGAGACCCCACTTTGAGAAACATTGCTCTAGCAGGAGGT